CCAGACACCCCATGGAGACCTGAACAGGGACCCCCCCAACCCCTCCGCCCCCTCCCACCCCCGGGGGACCCCACTCACGCTCGCAGATGGGTTTGGGGGTGCTCCAGCGCCCCAGCTTGGTGCAGTTACTGCGGGTGCTGCCCACCAGGCGGAACCCGGGGTTGCAGCTGTACTCGGTCCACGTCCCCTCCACCGGCACCCGCTCCATCTCCCGCACCACCGCCTGCCCGTTCTCCAAGCTCAAGTGCATTTTGGGGCAGGTCCTCACTGGTTGGGGGTGCAAAGTTGGGCGGGGTCAAGTCTGTACCCTTCCCAGGGTAACCCCTACCAACGCAGTGGGTGCTGGTCGGGACCTCCGGTGGTGGTGACGGTGATGGGGAGGGTAGAGGTGATGGTAAGGGTAATGGTGATGGTGGTGATGGTGGTGATGGTGGTGATGGTGGTGATGGTGGTGATGGTGGTGGCAATGGTGGTGATGGTGATCATGATGGCGATGGTAGTGATGGTGATGATGGCGACGGTAATGGTAATGGTGATCATGATGGCGATGGTGATAGTGATGATGGTGGTGATGGTGATGGTAACGGCGATGATGGTGACAGTAACGGTGATGGGGATGCTGATGGCGACGGTGATGGTATGTCAGTGCTAATGATCATGGTAACGGTGACGGTGATGGTAACAGTGATGATGATGGTTATGGTAACGGTGACGGTAACAGTAACGGGGATGCTGATGGTACGTTGATGTTAATGGCCATGGTAACGGTGAAGGTGATGGTCATGGTGAAGGTGATGGTAACGCTGATGGAGATGGTGACGGTAATGGTGACAGGGTTTGGTGATGCTAACAGCGATCACGGTGACCGTAATGGTGATGCTAACAGCGATGGTCATGGTAACGGTGATGGGGATTGGTGATGCTAACGGTGATCTCGATGGTAACAGTGACAGTAACGGTGACCGGTGATGCTAACAGCAATCACGATGGTGATGGTAATGGTGATGGTGAAGACGATGGGGATGGTGACAGGGATGAGGATGGTGACGATGGTGACGGGGATGAGGATGGTGACGATGGTGACGGGGATGAGGATGGTGACGGTGACAGGGATGATGCTAAAGGTGATCATGATGGCAATGGTGATGATGGTAACAACGATGGGGATAGCGATGGGGACGTTGACGGGGATGGGGACGTTGACGGGGATGGGGACGTTGACACTCACGGCAGCGGCTGGGGTGGCCCATGGCGGTCCAGGTGCCGTCGCGCTGACACTTGCGCACCTTGGGCCCCACGATCTCGCGGTCGGGCCGGCAGACGTACTCGATCTCGTAGTCGAAGGGGAGGAAGCGAATGCTCTGCACCTCCTCGGGGGTCAGCCCCCGGTAGCGGATCCCCCCGTCCCGCGGCGGGTGGATGATCTGGCAGCCTGGGGAGGGGGTGTCACGCGGGTTTTGGGGGGTGTCACGCGGGTTTCGGGGGGTGTCGTCACCCGCGTGTCCTCGCACGTGCGGCACGTACCCTCGGTGAGGTTCACGTGGACGGCCGCCCGGTTGGGCTCCGCGCTCAGCGCCAGCAGCAGCAGCAGCAGCATCTATAGGGACGGTGACAACCCCGCGCTTAGCGGGGGGGGACGCGCCTGGGACCCCCCCAACTCCTGCCTGCGCTGGGCAGCCCCGCGCCTCGCCGGGCCGGGCGGGGGGGGGCCGATGGATGGGCACCCTATGGAACACCCCGCATCCCCTATGGGGTACCTCCCCTACAGAGTACGCCCCACAGATGCTGCATCCCCTATAGAGTACACCCCACATGCCCTGCATCCCCTATAGAGCACATCCCCTATAAGGTACACCCCACAGATGATGCAACCCCTATAGAGGACACTCCACATGCCCTGCATCCCCTATAGAGTACATCCCCTATAGAGTACACCCCACAGATGCTGCATCCCCCATAGAGGACACCCCACATGCCCTGCATCCCCTATAGAGCACATCCCCTATAAGGTACACCCCACAGATGATGCAACCCCTATAGAGGACACCCCGCATGCCCTGCATCCCCTATGGAGTACATCTCCTACAGACTACACTCCACATATGCTGCATCCCCTATAGAGGACACCCCACATGCCCCGCATCCCTCATAGAGTATATCCCCTATAGAGTACGCCCCACAGATGCTGCATCCCCTATAGAGTACCTCTGCTAGAGTACACCCACGTACCCTGCATCCCCTATAGAGCACCCCCCGCCCGCCATGCATCCCCTATAAAGTACATCCCCTATAGATTATGCCCCACATGCCCTGCATCCCCTATAAAGTACATCCCCTATAGAGTACACCACACGTCCTGCATCCCCTAGAGATTCCCTCCCTTATAGATTACGCCCGCGACGCCCTGCATCCCCTATAGAGTCCATCCCCTGTAGACTACCCATGCCCTGCAGCCCCTATATAGAGTACATCTCCTATAGGGTACGCCCTATAGATTTCATCCCCCATAGATTACATTCCCCATAGATTATGCCCCCCACACCCCGCGTCCCCTATAGAGCACACCCCACCGCGCGTACACGCGCACACACGCATAAACACGTCATCCCCTATAGAACACGGCCCGCTGCGTGCACAGACAAACCCAGCGTCCCCTATAGAGTACCCCCGGCGGATGCGCACTCACACATGCTGATCCCCTATAGAATACACCCACACGGGGGCACACCCAGCATCCCCTATAGAGCGCACACGTGGCACGCGCTGCACGCAGGCTGTCACCTATATAGAAGTCCTCTCCTACAGGCGTCAGTGCAACCTACCCCCGCCTTACACACTCACGGTACAACCTACACCTTGCTCGCACGCTCACGGCACAACCTACACCTTGCACGCTCACAGTGCAACTTACACCCGCCTTACACACCCACAGTACAGCCTACACCCTGCTTGCACACTCACAGGGCAACCTACACCTCGCTTACACAAGCACAGTGCAACCTAGACCCCGCTTGCACACTCACAGTGCTAGTTACACCCGTTTGCACACACGGGGCATAAGCTACAGCCGCTCACACATGCGCTGTGCAACCTACACCCCGTTTGCACGCGTGCAGTGCAAACTATACCTTGCTTACACATGCACAGCGCGAGCTACGCCCTTTTGCACACACAGTGAGCGAGCTACAGCCGTTCACGTGCGCTGTACAAGCTACACCCCATTTGCATACTCAGTGCAAACTACACCCTGCTTGCACACACACAGTGCAAATTACACCCCGTCTATGTATGCACAGTGCAAGCTACACCCTTTTGCTACACCCCATTTGCACACTCAATGCAAACTACACCACTACTACAGTGCAACTCACAACCAGCCTACACACCCACGGTGCAACCTACACCCCGCTTGTGCACGCACAGTGCAACCTACACCCCACTTACACATGCACAGTGCAACTTACAACCGGCTTACACACGCACAGTGTAACTCACAACCAGCTTACACACCCACGGTGCAATCTACACCCTGCTCGGATGCACACAGGGCAACCTACACCCTGCTTACACATGCACAGTGCAATTTACAACCCGCTTACACACCCACAGTGCAACCTACACACCGCTTGCACATGCACAGTGCAACTCACAACCGGCTTACACACCCACGGTGCAACCTACACCCTGCTTGCATGCGCACAGTGCAACCTACACCCTGCTTACACATGCACAGTGCAACCTACGCCCCGGTTGTGCATGCACGGCACAAACTACACCCCGCTTACACATGCACGGTGCAACTCACAACCGGCTTACACGCACACAGTGCAACCTACACCCCACTTGTGCACACACAGTGCAATTTACACCCCGCTTGCATACGCACAGTGCAACTTACAACCCACTTACACACCCGCAGAGCAACCTACACCTCGCTTGCATGCACACAGCGCAAACTACACCCTGCTTACACATGCACAGTGCAACTTACACCCCGCTTGCATGCGCACAGTGCAACTTACACCCTGCTTACACACCCACGGTGCAACCTACACCCCGCTTGTGCACACACAGTGCAAACTACACCCTGTTTGCGCACACACAGTGCAAACTACACCCCGTTTACACATGCACGGTGCAACTCACAACCGGCTTACATGCGCACAGTGCAACCTACACCCCGCTTGCATGCGCACACTGCAACTCACAACCAGCTTACACACGCACAGTGCAACCTACACCCCGCTTGCGCACACACACATGCACAGTGCAACTCACAACCGGCTTACACACGCACAGTGCAACCTACACCCCGCTTGCACACTCACAGTGCAACCTACACCCCACTTGCATGCGCACAGTGCAATTTACACCCTGCTTACACACCCACGGTGCAACCTACACCCCATTTGTGCACACACAGTGCAAACTACACTCCACTTACACATGCATAGTGCAACTCACAACCGGCTTACATGAGCACAGTGCAGTTTACACCCTGCTTGCATGCGGACAGTGCAACTTACACCCTGCTTATACACCCACGGCGCAAACTACACTTGCGCACACACAGTGCAAACTACACCCCGTTTACACATGCACGGTGCAACGCACAACCGGCTTACACGCCACGCGTGCAACCTACACCCTGCTTGCATGCGCACAGTGCAACTCACAACTGGCTTACACACCCATGGTGCAACCTACACCCCGCTTACACATGCACAGTGCAACTCACAACCAGCTTACACACGCACAGTGCAACCTACACCC